GATAGGGTTCCTTGACTATTTGTGTTTCTTAGTATGCCACTGCTTTCTTTCTGCTTTCGGAGCATGATCTGGTTCAAATGGAAAATGTGGCCTTTGTGGTAATGGACCTACCTTGTGCTCACTTTGAGTCTCACTGAACTCAGGTGCACAGTGGGTCTACCTGCAATCCTGTGCTCATTGGGCATAGCAAACCCTATATGCAAGCGGGGGACAAGGAAGGTGGCCACACACATCTTGCATTCTCTTCTGCTCACCCACACAGGCTGCATTGTTAAACTTCACATAAATACAAGTTCAAGGGTGAAAATATTAAGATGTTCAAGATGGTAACAGCAGATCATTAAATGAAGGGCAGCCCTTCTGAGCAAGGGTCCTGTGTGATTACACAGGTCATATGCCCATAAAGCAGCCCTGGGCATGGCACCCAAGGTGAATACAAGCAGCTAGGTATGGGCTAGAGATCTCAAGCTGGCAGCCTGAGGGCCAAATTTGTCCCACAATGTGTTTTTATGTTCTTGGATCTGAATGCCTTGGGGTCAGCTCTTCCAGTTCACCAGTGTCTTCTGCCGCCTTTTATCTCACAATCAGCCTGAATCATCATTTCAGTTCCTGCCTGGCCCCTGTAGGCATCTGAGTTTGAGCCCTCTGAATGAAGGCAGATGATAAGTAGTAAGAAGGGGAGGGGCTGATGTGCTAGGATGGGATTCTGAGCTGCATGTGGCGGTTGGAGATGGTGAGTCATTAAAGATTTAAGAAGATGTGACTCTTGGAAAAGCAGCAAAGGGAATACTGGGCAGGTTAAGTTAGAAGTGGGCAGAGATGAGCCAGAGAGATCAACTGGCACAATTGGGGTGATCCAGGCAAGAGGTGGTGAGGTCTGAGCTACATCACAGAGGTGGAGGATGAGGGTCAAGGTGTTACTCAGTGCTGATGGGGGTGTGGGTGGAGGGAAGGGGGATGTCAGGGATGACCTAGGTTTCTGGCTCGGTTGGTGGATGGTGTGTCGTGGCTTTTTCGGGACAGTAAATACAGGAGGAGCGGCCTGTGAACTGAAGCAAATGATTTGCATTTTCAATCCTTTAAGTTTGAGGAGCCAGGAGGACACCCAGAAGGAAAGCGCCTCATAGGTAGTTGTATGGATTCAGGATGCTCAGAATCAGGACCTGGGCTGAGTTGTCAGCAGGAGCTGAGTCTGCAGGAGCAATGAGGAGAGAGGAGGCTGAAGGTGGAACTCCAGAGAGTGACATTTGAAAGCGGGCAGAAGAGGAAGCACTAGTCAAAGAGCTGGAGAAGGCCCGACCAGGCAAGCAGGCAGAACCAGGAGAGAGTGGTGGTGGAAGCCAAGGGAGGGAGGAGACACCTTTTCAGGGAGGTGGGTGGGTGCCGGTGGGGGGTGGCTACCTCAGTTTCTGAGCAAAAGAGAGGCTTGACTAGAATAAGAGGACTGGAGAGCAACCCGAGGGGCAGTGCAGGAGCATTTTTGGCAGCAGAGGGGTTGAGGGGCTGAGGGGCATGTGGGCATTGCCAATGAGGGTGACCAGGGGAGCAGATGTCCTGAGGACCCTGCTGGGTAGGCTCGCCAAGTGAGCACCAGAGCTGAGAGCTGGGGAGGGCCAGGAAAGCTCTTGCTTGCTGTTTTATTTCTTTTAGAATGCTGAGATTCGAGGAGGTTTATATGCTGAGGGGAAGGGCCCCTTCTTTTCAGACCCTGGCAACCTTTGAAGCAGGGCCAGCTGCCTCCCAGGACTATTAGTTAAATGACGGAATATGTAGAAACCGCATAGTAAATGTCAGCGTCATCGGCATCCTTGGCAGCCCTGCTCTGGGGAAACCTAAGATGAGATGCAGACTGCACCCTCCTCTCTGCAGTGCCTTTGAACTTTCTCCCATCTTTCTGTCATCCCCCTCGAAGAGGAATCAACATGCAGTGCCTTCTCTCCAAGGCTGATGATTTGCTGCCAAGTGTGGGCGCATCTGAGCTGCCCCAGATTCTCAGAGCACAGTGATGTGTCTGGGTCTCATGGTTTACTGTGCTCTTCCCTCGATTCTGTCTTCAAATGCTCTGAAATCATTTGCATCTGTCCTGCCATTCCTGCCTAGGCTTGTCCACCCTGCAGGGCAGCAGTGTTTGCTCCCTCTGAGGGCGTGTGAAAATACAGCCTGAGGGCCTAGTACCAGGACTATGAAGCTGCAAGTGGGGAATCCCCTCTTCCTACAGAAATAAGAATGCCCTAAGCCAAGAAGCTGACTCCATCTGTATCCATTTCTTAAGCCTCCAAATTGCCACAAGCTTACTGGCTAAAAACAAAAATTTATTCTCTTAACAGTTCTGGAGGCCAGAAATTCAAAACAAGTCTTGCAGGGCTAAAATCAAGGTGTCAGAAGGGCTGATTCTTTCCAGAGGCTCAAGGGGAGAATCCGTTTCTTGCCTTTTCCAGCCTCTCGTGGCTGCCGCATTCTTTGGCTTATGGCCACATCGCTTTATTATTTGCTTTTTTCATCACATTGCTTCCTCCTCTCCTATAGTCAAATTTCCCTTTGCCTCTGTGTCATGAGGATATTTGTGACCGCATTTATTAAATAGGACCACCCAGATAGTCCAGTAGAGTCTCCCCATCTCAGAATTTTTTTTATGTAATCACATTTGCAAAGTCCCCTTCGTTTCCTTTTGTCCCATTCGCAGGCTCCAGGGATTCGGACCTGGATCTCTGTAGGGGCCATTACTCAGTCTGCCACATCATCATCAGAGGGGACTCTCCGCGCACTCTGGTGAAGCAGGCAGGACGTGCATTACCCTCATTTTACTGCTGAAGAGATTAAAACTTTTTGATATGATAGTGGCCACACAGACTTTGGAGTTGGTGGCCAGGCCAATACCAGAGCCAGGCCTCTGGCCCTAGCCTGGGGCACATCTATAGCCCTGCATTAGAGCCCTGCCACTGCAGAGCCTCGGGGTGAGGCGGGACCCTGCAAGGATTTTCGGGGCTGCTGGAGCCCCACAGATGAGTCCTGACTTTCAAGAGTCCATCTACAATTTCTGTGTTTGGTCAGAGAGGTGGTGTGGCCATGGCAACCCCTGGACAGAAAACACCTCACCTCATGGCCATCTGTGGGGTTTGGGGGCATGAGCCAGGGGTGCCTCTGGACAGGGAATTGCTGTCCTTTCTGGGTTTTGCCAGGGCAGAGGACTGCCCGGTGGTGGCATGCTAGGGGCTCACCTCAGTGCCGAAGGAGCGTAGCATCTTAACTGGCATCCAGGGCCCTGCTTAGCTCCAGGAAATGAGAGCTTTTCCATCAGATCTCTGTTGCCAGGGCTCAGTCAGAGTCCTGTATTTTATTGTCTTGAACAGATGAGCTCAGCTCTTGGGGAATGAGGCATTGGCAGGGAGGTTCTTTTGTTTGTCTTATGGAGACCGAATCTCTCCCCTTTCCATCAGACCAGGACCTAAGAAACCCCACACTGAGCTGCCTAAGCCCTGCCAACTGCACCCAGCTATGGGGCCTGCCTGCAAAACAATGTTCATCCCACTTGAGCCCCCGCCTGCCCCAGACCCAGGGCCAAGGGCCCAGCTGCCTGCCCCTGTCCTGTCAGCTGCAGGGCTTGGACACCATCCTCTCACCCCCTGGGGGGGGGAGCAGAATAGACAGAACGGATTGGAACGGTTTGGAAATGAGGGTGGCCTAGAATTTAGAGAACTCTGGAATCCAAACTGTAGGACCTTTGTTACTTTTGTCCCAGGTGAGTGTCAAGGAGCGATTATTCTCTTAACCCACCTGTGCCGTCAGCCTTGGCGGCAGGTGGAGCAGGGTTCTGCTGGCCCAGCTGCCAGTAGGGCTCAGGAAGCTGTGAGGGCAGGATTCACGCAGCTCTCTCACTGCCCCTCCCGCTGCTGTCTTCCTACCTCTTCCATAATCCACCAGCGTGAGGGACAGAAGGAGCACACTCCTGTAGTAGTCAGGGGTGACTTCACTATCACTCAAGGCTATGTTCAATAATAATAACACAGACAAGCATTGCAGGCTTTCAACTTGACCTAGAACCCAGTATAGTTCCACTGGCCTTTTAGGGCCTCTCCTGGGCACCAGGTCATCCCAGAGCCACTCAGAAGGATATTGCTCTGTCCCATCCCATTGTGGCTGACTCAATCTCTGAAGGAGGCGTCCACAGCCAGAGTCAGCTCCTTATTCAAGATCTTGATATCTTGCCCCCCAGTTCCCCAGCAGGGGGGCCTGGCATCCTGCTCTCAGTAGTGACAGGGGCATGGGCTTGGGGATAGCCTTCTCGGACAGCAGGTGGGCCTCAGGGACATGAATAGCCATTGCTCAGTTAGGGTTGGTCCCACAGCCTGGGGCAGCTCAGCAGCTGGCAGAGCTCAGAGTTCCTGGTTATGCCCAGCAGAGTCCTCTCCTCTGGCCACACTTCTCATGCTGTGTGTTCACGCAGGGATCAGACATCTGGGTGCCTGCAGCATGCCAGACACTGTGTTCTGAGCACCGAGAATGCAGTGAGGAAAAGCCACATTCCCTCATCCCTCGGTGCCTACACTTCAGTTGGGGGCAGGCATGGAGGGAAGAGAAAGAAGCACAAGCATTGTGGAGATGCAGGAAGACATGCTGTGTAAGAGAGCAGCATTCATGGTACCCTGAGAACTGAATGGTATAGAAGACAATAGTTCTCCAGAGGAGGGTATGGTGTCATACAAGGAATCTGGATCTTAGGTCTTTGAGGGATAGGATTGAGAAGTCAGAACAACAGGAGCAAAGCATGGTGGCGTAAAAGTGGCGAAAGATGGGCACAGTGGAGCCTCAGGTGTAGGGTCGAGTGTAGGGTGGATCAGGGGAGTAGCAGGAGATGGTGCGTGAAAAATGTGTGAGGTCAGGTTATACACGGCTGTTAAAGCCTGCTGAGGAGCCAGACTCCAGATGGAGGGGCAGCAAACGTTTAGGGGGTGAGACATCACTAGATCAGCCCAACACCTCAACCACCTCTTCTCCACCAGGAAGGTGCAAGGACACTCTCTCCACAATCACGGGGCCGACCACCCAGAACACATATGGGCGGAATGAAGGGGCCTGGATGAAGGACCCCCTGGCCAAGGATGAGCGGATTTATGTAACCAACTATTACTACGGCAATACCCTGGTGGAATTCCGGAACCTGGAGAACTTCAAACAAGGTGCGTGATATGGATCCAACCCAGGTGGCTCCTTCCCTTCCCCATGTCCTCTGTTTTTATCACAGCTGACCCTCTTTGGTGGTAATGGCAGATGGGAAGGGTGGCACCTTCTTCTGATGGCTAGTGGTCTCCCTTGGAAAGCGGTCCCCCTTCTCCACTCCCTCACATTCTCTGCCTCTCAGTGCTGCCCCTCGTCCCCAGCTCCTGGGACACTGGACAACCTCCAGTCCAGGAGAGGGTGGTGAAGCATCCTCCCTTTTCCATAACCCTTGACAATGTACGAACCACATTCATGTATATTAGCTCCCTGGACCCTTGAAACAGGCAGGTGGGAATTGTCACTTCCCTATGACAGATGAGGACGCTGAGGTGTGGACAGGTTAAATGATGTGCAACAGAACACTAGAAAGAGGCAGAGCCAAGACGCAAACCCGGGTTTCCAGACCCCTCGTTGATCATCACTCACCTAACCACACGGGCCACCCACCCTCTGCCACGCCACCCCGAAGCCTCTTGTTTTCTCCCCACCCGCAGGTCGCTGGAGCAATTCCTACAAGCTCCCGTACAGCTGGATCGGCACAGGCCATGTGGTGTATGATGGCGCCTTCTACTACAACCGCGCCTTCACCCGCAACATCATCAAGTATGACCTGAAGCAGCGCTACGTGGCTGCCTGGGCCATGCTGCATGACGTGGCCTATGAGGAGGCCACCCCCTGGCGATGGCAGGGCCACTCAGATGTGGACTTTGCTGTGGACGAGAATGGCCTATGGCTCATCTACCCGGCCCTGGACGACGAGGGCTTCAGCCAGGAGGTCATTGTCCTGAGCAAGCTCAATGCGGTGGACCTGAGCACGCAGAAGGAGACCACGTGGCGCACGGGGCTCCGGAGGAACTTCTACGGCAACTGCTTCGTCATCTGTGGGGTGCTGTACGCCGTAGACAGCTACAACCAGCGGAATGCTAACATCTCCTATGCCTTCGACACCCACACCAACACGCAGATCGTCCCCCGGCTGCTGTTTGAGAATGAGTATTCCTACACGACCCAGATAGACTACAACCCCAAGGACCGCCTGCTCTATGCCTGGGACAATGGCCACCAGGTCACCTACCACGTCATCTTTGCCTACTGACACCCTTGTCCCTGCAAGCAGAAGCACAGAGGGGTCACGAGCACCTTGTGTGTATGTGTGTGTGCACGTGTGTGTAGGTGGGTATGTATTGTTTAAAAATATATATTATTTTGTATAATATTACAAATGTAAAATGACAATTTGGGTCTATTTTTTTATATGGATTGTAGATCAATCCATACGCATATGTGCTGGTCTCATCCACCCCCCCCCCCCGTTTATATTTTTGTGCAAATGAACTTCTCCTTTTGACCAGTAACCACCTTCCTTCAAGCCTGCAGCCCCTCCAGCTCCTAGATCTCAGATCTCAACCGTTGAAAAGGTTTCTTTGTCTGGGTCTCACAGGAGGCAGACCACACCAGGAGCAGAGACAAAAGAGGCAAGAAAGAAGTGCTACGTGGCGGGAAAAAAGTTTTAATGTATTGGAGAAGTTTTAAAAACCCAGAAAAATGCTTTTTTAAAAAAAAAAAATAAAGAAGAAATTTAAAATCAGCCCCCAGTGCACTTTCGTTCAGCACCGATTTGTCTGGCCAGGTGTTGGATCCCACTCCCGGAAGGAGACGAGGTCTGGTGTTCCTCAGACATGTTCTCTAGCTGAACTGGGCTGCATCCAAGTTCAGTTCCAAGGAGCTCCCCCTCCCGTCCTGATAGGGGCTTCCTGGTGGGGGACCTGGAATGAGCCGACCCTTGTGTTCTCTTTATTTTGTGGCATTGATCCCTTCGTTTCTCTGTCGCACCGGCTTCCTTGCTCTGTTCTGCCACTCCTCTGATCATTTCACCCAAGGTGTGGGGAACCCATTCATTCCTTAGCCCTGCTTCTTGAGGTCTGGTCTCACGCACTGTTGAAAATACAAAGCTGAGTGAGCATGACCTTGTTCCCTCGCTTCCTTAAGAAGTTCTCAATCAATCCATCTCTCTCCTCCTCTCTCCTTCTCCCCATAACCCTGTCTGCCTTATCTTAAACATGCTCATTCGGCCAGGCTTTCCCTCCCACCCTCCCTTCCAGGAAAGGGGCCCCTTTCTGAAACAAGATCCCAGAGGGAAACGGCTGAGAGGCGAGGAAGAACTGCAGCCCCTCCCTCCGGGCGCAGGGCTGAGCCCTGTGCAGTGCCTGCTGTCCACAAGTGTGATTTTTCCTCCACGCTACACAAAACAGGAGACAGAACATCTGAAAAAGCCTCAACAGGCATCTCCTGAGGTTACGGAGGAGGGCAGGACCCAGGGACGCAGTGGAGGGATCAGCAAAGCTCTCCCCTGCAGCTCCCCTCAGCCTCCTCCCAGCCCCTCTGTAGGTGGCCTCACTTCCTGACCCCCAGTTAGAGAGTCACGCCAGGGAGCTCCCCCTGTATAGAGCACAAGGTGCGGTGGGGGGGTGGGTGGGCATGAGGAACGGCCCTCCAGGGAGGCCGGCTGCAGCTCATCTGGGTGAATTAATTGTTTTCGGGCCAAACTGCCTACTCGGGCCAGGTGAGGACACTTCCCAGGTGCCTCCCACACGCCAGAAGGAGGAAGCAGAGGCGGGGGTGGCCGCAGCCTGAAGCTGGGTGGTCAGAAATGTTTTCCTTGAGCACAGCATCCAGGACGTCTTCAGGCAGCTTTCTGTTGTGGGGTGAACTTTGGAAACACCAAAATTTAAACAAAGAATGAGTTTCTCCAAAGCCTGAAGAGCAGAATAACGGCCAGGCTGTGCCCCACCCGCTGCTGCCTAGTGCGGGGCCTGACACCTGCCCGCAGACCCTCAGCTGTAAGATGAGGGGTGTTTCCCAGCCCTCACACTCGCTGGCTGAATCTTCTCTCGCTCTGTAACGCCTCCTCAAACTTACAGCATTGTAACTGCTTGATATTGATGGGAATATAGTTACTTTTTTTTTCCTGTTGAAAGACTTCCCAACAGCATATTTCAAAAGTAGAGAAAAATATTTTAAATGAAGGCCAACATGACATGTTACCCAAACACTTTAGTATCTCTTAAGGAAATTTTTAACATAACCTTAACCTAACAAGATTAAGTATGAGTCCTTAAAATCAATAACATACAATCCAAATTTAATTTCCCCAATGTTCTCAAAAGTGTCTTGTACAGCTGGGACTTTGAACCCAGATCAATGAATATCCACACACTGAATTATGTTTCTGTATCTGAAATCTCCCTCTACCTCCTCTCCCTCCGTCTCCCCTCCTCTCCTATAAACTTTTCATTTTGGAATAATTTTAAATTTACAGAAAAGTTGCAAGGTTAGTACAGAGAGTTCCTGCACACACTTCAAGTAGGTTCCCCTAATATTAACATCTTACATAATCATGGTATTTGTCAAAGCTCAAGAAACCTGCAATAGTGAATTACCATCAGCTCTAGTTAAGCATCTTCTCATCTAGAATGGTTCTCTCTGCCTGACCTCTTTCTTTCATGTCATTGATTTGCCGAAGAAACTGTGTTGGGTTTTGGTGACACATCACTTTCTGGATTTATCTGATTACTCCCTGCAGGTGTCATTTAACTTAGTCCTCTGCCACGGTCTGAATGTTTGTCCCCCCACCGCCACCAAATTCTTATTTTGAAATAATTGTGGTGGTGATGGGAGGATTAGGCCATGAAGGCAGAGCCTTCATGATGGGATTAAAAGAAACTCCAAGGGCTGAGCGCGGTGGCTCACGCCTGGAATCCCAGCACTTTGGGAGGCCGAGGCAGGTGGATCACCTGAGGTCAGGAGTTCAAGACCAGCCTGGCCAACATAGTGAAACCCATTTCTACTAAAAATACAAAAATTAACTGGGTGTGATTGTGAGTGCCTGTAATCACAGCTACTTGGGAGGCTGAGGCAGGAGAATCGCTTGAACCTGGGAGGCAGAGGTTGCAGTGAGCCGAGATCATATCATTGCACTCCAGCCTGGGTGATGAGAGCAAAACTCTTGTGTCAAAAATAAAAAAAAAAAGCTCCAAAAGCTCCAAGGAGGTCCCTTGCCCCTTCAGCCATATGAGGGCACAGTAGCAAGGCATCAACTAGGAAGCAGCGGTGCCCTCACTGTACACTGAAACTGCTGGTGCCTTGATCCTGGAATTCACAGCCTTTGGAACTGTAAGCTATAAGTTTCTGAGTAGTTTATAAATTACTCAGTCTAGGGTATTTTTGTTATAGTGGTATGGACGGAATTCAGGGAAATACTGGGTAGAAGAGGGTGGTTCTCCAGCAAAGGCCCCACCCTCAAGCCTGAAGACAGGAATTTCTGTTTTTGGCCCCCCATGCCTCCCCCATCCTGTCCCCATATAAACCCAAGTCCTTAGTGGGAACATACAAGCAGCTGAACGTTGGGACTAGCAGACCAGCAATGGTGGAACAATGCAGCAGAGAAAGAGAGAAGAGGTGGGACACTGGATGCGGAGCGGAGTCTGGCTGGCGGCGGTCGGAGAAGAGTCCAGCTGCTGGGTGGCCCAACTCCAGGGGAAGACCACCTTCCCACCCCATCCTCCCCTCTGGCTCCCCATCCATCTTGCTGAGAGCCACCTCTACCACTCAATACAACCTTGCACTCATCCTTCGAGCCTGCATGTGATCCGATTCTTTCGGGACACTGGGCAGGAGCTCGGGATACAGAAGGCAGAGGGTCCATTGAGCTGATTAACACACAAGCCATCTGCAGACTGCAAATCTGAACGAGCCTTGTAACACACGTCCACCTGGGCTTTGGGAGTTGCAGACACCCATCCCTAGACGCTGCTGTGGAGCCAGAACTCAAAAGCACATGCGCTGGCCTCTGCACTTGTCCCTAGGCATTTCAGCTGCAGGGTGACCTAGCAGGCAGACCACACCCCTGCCTCACATGCTGCAGGGGGAATCCGGGAACCCTCCCTTTACAATAGCAGTCTCAAGGGGCTAAGACATCCTCTTTCCAGCTTTCGCCTTAAAGTGGAGGTTAGATCTAAAGGCTTGATTAGATTTAGGATAGACATTTTTGACAAAAGACTTCATTGTGATGCTGTGAACTTGGTGCACGATATTTTCCACATTTGTCCTCCTCTTTTCACTGGCTTTTGTCAGCCTTACCACCCTACGATGACGCATTGCAAACACCCCATACATGTTCTGCCTGCCTCCTGGGTCCCCTCCCACCCCCAGACATCTGTGATTCCCATGCTGACAGATGGATGTTGCGTTGGTCCTGACTCTGCAACCACTGTCAGGTTGAACAAGAGTGCCTCCTGGGCAGTAGTCATCAGGCAGCTTTAGTTTTCTTCCTGTCAATATCCCCATGAATTTATTTAATAGTCCTAGTTCTTTTCCCACTCCTGGATGAAAACTTGGACAGACCCCTTGATTTCTCTGGCAACTCTCAGGTAATAAAAAGTCCTGTGGTCACTTTAAATTAAAACAAGAACAACATAGATTCTGTTGTGTAATTGAAACAGCCAGTTCATTGTAGTCATCAGAATGTTAAACTTGACTTCAGGTTGCTTCTCCCACCCTTGTCCTTGCTGAGGCCACCGGCAAGGGGTCATCCACTCCCCCCCATGGCTAACTTTGGTGTCTGCCCTTCCAGAGGTGAGCAGGAGAAGGAGAGGAGGACAAAGGGAGCAGGAAAGGTGTTCCTGTGAAGGTAAAGTCGTGGGGTCTAGCACTCCTGAGAGGTGCTTAAAGTCTCCTGAGCACTTTTGTGCGTTCTTTGAAGAACTCGCCCTTTTTGCTAGGGATGCCTTGTCACTTTCTCTTCACATGGACTAAAGTTTCTCCATTCTGGCTGGAGAATCTTCTCCAGCTCTTAGAAATCTAGGGGTACGTCTGGCTGATTCTACTGGTGTCTCTGCCCCTCTCAATGGTCCACTTGCATAGGACTTAAGATGACCCCATGTAAGGCCACATCTGGTGCACAGAAAATTCTCATACATTATGCGTCCTGACAAAGCCTGGAGTGCAGGTTGGTCCTCAGCTAAGTCATCTTTGCTGAAGAGTAGCTAGCCAGCCCACCTTCTCCCAAATGGGAGTGTGTCACTGATCCACTGTTACCCCAAACTGCAAAGAACACAGACTACGTGTCCCAAGAGGTCCACTTAAAGCTCTCTTCCCTTAGCCTTGCCATAAAGGGCAGGCACGCCCCTCCCCAGGGTGGAAGGGGTGGGACTCCACAAAGCTGTCTCCAGAGGAATCCTCTTCTAACATCTCTTTTAAAAAGTTTCCAACTCTCAATTCTTTCACACTCTTAATGTGGGTGAAGGGTTTAAAGGTCTCTAACCAGTTTCCGGACACCTCCTTGGTGAATGTTGCCTGCGTTCTGGCCCATCCTTTGGAATGTGAGATCTGGCGTTTCCTGGGGCCTTGGCTGAAACTCCCATTCTTACACACCATAATGCCGTTCCCTCCTCCCAGGATGCCTTCTCAGCCGCCACCCTGCCCTTCTTGACACCTTAGATTGTCCTCAGGGTCCAGCTCAAGTAAAGTCTTGTCCGATTCCCCAGTCAAAGCAACAGTAGCCCCTACTACCACGCTTCGCACCGACTA